CTGTGCAAGACCCAGTCCAGCTAAGATCCTAAATCAGAGAGACACATAGTAAACTGCAGAGCCACCAGCTGAGCACTTAACCTAGAAGAGATGGGGTGGGGTGGGGTATGAGAATGACCCCCGGGTTGGTCTCAGTAGCCTGTGCTTTATGCGGTCAATCAAAGCCTGTGCTCACATTGATAATCTACCATCATATTATAATTAAGACTTGCTCTGTGAACTTATGCTTTCTATGAAGTTCCGTGGGACACTGGGGATGGATACCAGCAAAGGAACTAAGCCTACCCATTGCAGTCCCATAGCATCACCCAATAACACACCTGATAAGTGAGATCAGCAAGACTTGAAGCAGGTACTAGGTAAACATGGTAAGGTCTGCAGTGGAGTAAGTGGGACCATCAGCCTATGGGCACACTCTGGTTCGAACCAGAACTTGCTTCAAGCACAGCAGGAGAACTGCAGTTTCTTGGTGATGTGAGCAACATAGAGTCTGATACAGGAGCTGTCATGTACTGTGTTCACATTTCTTGTCCTTAGCCAACTGTGAAAATGACATAAAAGAAAAGAGACAGAGCAATCATGGCCCCCTCTTCCTTTCTGGTCACTAAGGCAGAAATGTATGGACTTTAGCTATATCAAGAAGTAAAATTAAAACTGATAAGAACACAGAAACTGGAGAGATTGCCCAGTGGTTAAGAGCATGTAATGTTCTTCCAAAGGACCAGAGTTCAGTTCCCAGCACCCACAGTCTTGTACACATACACAGAATCAAAAATAAAATCTTTAAAAGAAAAAAAAAAAACACAGGTGCATGTACCAGCTATCAAATATGATGCCTGTCTAAGTTAGTATTTTTAAAACCATTATTACATGACGTAAAATTGAACAGCAAAAGTCATGCTAATAACTTAAGCATCACACACCCATATGCCCCCCCCACACACACACATACACACAAATAATTTTCCCATGGACAGAATATTCTCTCATTCTTATATAGTCTAGACTTCCCAACCTGTACCTGATATTTTTAGGACCTATATTTTATATTTTTATTCTTCTTACACAAAATCTGGCTTATAAGAGCTATTTTTAAATGTTTGAATACATAGATGAATCTTCCAAAAATAATGGGTTTTAAAATTTAAACAACCTATAAAGAGAAGAGTCCTGTTTTGTCTTAAAATCATATAGTAAAAATAGGCTTTTGATAACAATTAAATTTGTTAAGGAACAGAGGAGTCAGCAGGACAAAGAAAGTTGTTTGAAGAACCTGGTGGGGGTTATATTTTAACACTAGCACTGAAGATGCTATGTGGATGAAGCCATTATTTCTGAAAGACTCAAACCTTTGGAGTCACAGGCTTCACCTGCTAACAAAGATTCAACTCATTAGTGATGGAGTTTTCGATTGATTCCATATGTCAAGAAGATAATCCAAGAGGGAAAACTTGTCTTTTTGTAACAGAGTCCTTGATGGGGTTGAGCAGCTGTGTTTTACTGTCCTTGGGGTCATAGATGGAAAACTCTCTACTAATGCCATCCAAGCGCAAATGCTCACGGCCTGACTCCCTGGAATTAACGTTGCCATCAGCAGGTTGCTCCAGCACCTAGAGTGTCACCTAAGAAGACAAAAGGTTTAATCAATCAAATAAGAAAACTAAACCAGCAATTCCTGCAATTTTTGTAAAGGAGAGAATAACAAGACACTCTTCTGTGGTCTATCGAAGACGGGAGTGGGGGTAGCCATGACAACTGTAAGACACTGGTGTGCAAAACAGAATGGATGAGCTTTGTTTGCTTACCATGGTCCTATGGCAGGAGCCTTCACTGAGTCCTTCTTGTCTCCGAGGGGGGCTTATGTCTGAAGGGCTGGTATTCTGCATCCTGAAGGTTTGACCTTTTGTGTTGTCCATCTGAGACACATTTATGGGACATCTACAGGAGCCTACCTGTGAAGTATGGCCATTGTCAGTGTCTTGGAAGGAGAGTCACTCCAGAGACAGGCCCTGGGTGACTGTACCTTCTAGCAGTATTTGCTTCCATGCCTGACACCACTGATGATTTTAAGACCTTTCCAGAAAATAAGCCCCTATTGTCACATTTCCCTGTGGGTTTCCTATCCATGCCCATGTCCTTTTGTCAGTTTTTATAACATGGATATCTGATCCAGGGGGATGTCATCTCCAGTGAGTGGATAAGAAACCCAAAATATTCTTGCCTCCTAGAAGGTAAGACTCTCTGCTCTCCTGCAGCTAAACCCTGCCTCAGGCTAGCCTCACACACAATCCAGTTGCCAACTTTCTTGAGTTCACTCTAAGCAAGTATGTTCCTGGAGAGGCTGTGCCAAGGCTCCAGGTACAAGTGCTCATGTGAGCAACTCTAACAACCTCCACCCTGAATACAAGCCCCACCAACCCTACATGGTGCCATCAGACTTCTTTACCATCAGGCCAAGTAGGGTCTATGTCAAACCAAGGCCACAGGTCCTGTGGCAGGAACCAGGGTTGAGCTCATTCTGTAGTTGCTTAACTGGCATGCCTGCACTTCTAACTAGGACCCAGGCTTTACACTGTCCCCATGGAACGTAGAGACGTATTCAGTACAGACTTGCCCTCCAAGGCTCCTTGTCAGAGAGGACACTGGAAAAGACCATTCTAGCACTAAGGGTAATGATGTCTGGTAGCACCAAACAAGGATGAATGATTGCCCCACCCAGGCCTGAGTCCAGACAGAAATAAAAGAAAGAAAGCAAGAATTTTCAAAAAAAGAAAGAAAGCAAGGATAAATGTGGTGGATAGTATGGCTCGTGACTGAAAGATGCTTTTGGAAGAACAGGTGTGGAGGAGCAGACACAAAGGGACTCAGAGGGATGGTCTAAAAGGGCTGCTCACCTGGCCAGTGTTTCCCCATCCTCTCCCATGCAAGACCCTTGTGTGTCACACATATTGTGATGCAAATAAGTCTGTCTGCTCACATGGAACATAGCAAAAAGAACACAAATCCAGTCATCACACAAAGGCAACACCCAGGGAACCAGGAATCTTGAGTAGGATGGTGTTGTGGTTGAACCTTGGCCAAAATTGATATGGACTAGAATGAATGAGATAGGACAGATTATGAAGGTGTACCCCTACTGTTGCAGTCTGGTCCCGTGCCGAGGTCATGGGTGGCAAGCAGTGAGTGAATGTGTGAGATACCCACACATTCCCAGGCTGAATGGGAAGGACATTGGAAGTCTAACAGGTCAACTGTGGATCAGTGAGGCACTGGTTTGAATGGAGACAATGGATCTGTAATTGGGAGTGTGGAGAGTGAGGCTTAGGTGCCTGATGTGGGTCAAGACAGATTTTAGAGGTCTAGTAAGGTTCTGGGCTAGTGATCGGTGTCAAACATCACCAGAATATGTAAAATCACCTAGAGAGAATATTGCCCTGCTGTGCTGGCCCCAACAGTGTCCCCTGCTGTGGCCCCAGTAGTGAGGAGAAAGACTTGCAGAGGGTGAGGTCTACCTGGACTTGGTTTGGCAGAGAAGGAGCAATCCTTGCAAAAGTGATGTGAGCAGCTGCACTTCCTTCCCCGGGGACGAGTAGCTTACTCTGCTCATGCACAGCGCAGTCTGCAATACTCACCCTGCCTTATCAGCCAGGAGGCTCCAGAATGGTTCCGAGACTTAAGCTGAGAAACTGAGAGTTAGCTCATCTGGAACCGTTTCTAAACCATTTCACGATATGTCTCTCAGCAATCTCTTTTCTTATATGTTGTCTTAGGTGCTCGAATACAGTGCCTCAGATCCTGTGTAGACTTAGGGACTATATAAAATACATTTCCTCCATTGCTGTGTTTCTGGGCCATCTCTGCACCCTGAGGAGTGTGGCTGCCCAGCTGCTGAGTTAATATTGGCTATACTAAAGCAGAAGTTCTTGGAACTTTTAGGAGCCAGACAGTAAATTTAACACATATCTCGTGAAAACAGGATAAAAGCAGAGCTTCAAACATCTTTGTGTTTGCCTTGTGTTTGCCACCAAGTCTGAGAAAGGAGGGAATGTCCTCAGCACAGCTCAAGATGTAAGAGTCAGGTCTTTCAGAACCAGGAATGCAAAACAAAATTAAAGGCATGTCTGCATAGACAAGTACTGCAAATGAGTTCAAAGACAGTGAAGCGTTGACTACACAGGGCCTAGTTGTTTGTTTGTTTGTTTGTTTGTTGTTTGTTTGTTTGTTTGTTTTAAACTTGAGGTATCATTTACTTGACTAAAAATGTACTTTCTGAAGAAAAAAGTTTAATGAAGTTATTCATTAAACAACTTAAACACAAACTTGTGCAGATAGTAAATTTTATTTTTGGTCAGTCAGTATTTTGTAAATTATAACTTGCTCTGGATCAAGCTAGTGTGAGCCAGGCATGGCGGTACACACCTGTAATTCCAACATTTAGAAGGTTGAGGTAGGAAGCACACAAGTTCAAGACCAGCTTGAACTATATAGCAAGACTCTGTCTCAATAACAAGCAAGCAAAATAACCATTTTGTAAATGAGTTTAAAACTACTTTCCACAGTTGATACCTGTGAAAAGGCCTCCAACAAGGAAACCCCAGTGCTACCCCCTGCCCCAGCTCTGAAAGGTGCAGCTCTCCCTCAGTAGGGCCCCTTCAACATGAGGTATTGGCTGATATCAGCACACTACCTCTAAATACAGAAGGCAGAGTGTGGAAATCATCATACTGGCAGGCACAGCACTAACTCACTATAGGTTGTAATTGTCAGTAACAGGAGAGAGGGTGAATGCACAGCTGATCTTGGCTGTCAGCCCACCAGCCAGCCTCTCTGACCTGGGGTATGTATGGTTCTTCCTTCCAGAAACAGCTTCCCCTCCATAAACTAGAGTGGCTGATGATGATCACACTTGTGTAGTGAGGAGTAAAGGAGCAGGCAGATGTGGAAACCTGCAGAAGGGAGGCTTCCTGCTCTGACCATCATGTCCCTTCTCCATTTCCCAGGAAGAACCCATCACCTTCAGTGAGGAAGCCTTCGTGTCCCACTACCGCTCTGGAGCCATGAGACAGTTCCTACAGAATGCCACACAGTTGCAGCTCTTCAAACAGGTGCCCAGCCTCCCTCAGGGCCTGTGCCAGGTCCCTAATGGGCATTTCTGCAACAGTTTCTACCTAAAACACTAAGAATGAGGGACAGAAAGGGATGGGCCTAGAGAGAACCAGTGGGGAAGGGTTTTTGTAAAAAGGACTTCTGGTGCCATACAGGTCCTTCCTTGCCTCCTGGCTGGTTTTAGGTATATACCGCACTGCCCAGTTGAATGGCTCCCTTGTCCATAGACAAGCTGTGATGTATTTGCTTTTTCTCTGCCCAGTTTATCGATGGCCGACTAGACCTTCTCAATTCCGGTGAAGGTTTCAGCGATGTCTTTGAGGAGGAGATCAACATGGGAGAGTATGCTGGTAAGAAGCTGCCTGCTCCCACCCCCACCCCCACCCCCACCCCCACCCCCACCCCCGGCACAGAGGGGCCTGTTTTCTTTTTCAGAAGAGATAGGGAGGAGACTGACTTCAACCTTGGCCTTGAAAGAGTTGGGAAATTCCTTGTTCTGTGATAGGGAGCACATAGCTTAATCCATGTGAAGCCTCTGATCTCAGAGCAGTTGTTTCTCCTGGGTAGAAAAGTCTAGGAGGGTGTCATGCACAGCATGATACAAGAGACACCTACCAGATTCTAAAGTAGGGGAACTAAACTCAAATGGAACCTCTGCCTCATTTCTAGCTGTGACACCTGGGACAAGTCACTGATGGTGACACAGACTACTTTGCAGAGGCTTCTGTATTGAGAAAGTGAGTCATTAGGAAGTGTTGCACAGTACCCCAAAACAGCTCCTGCTCTAGAGTCAAGCTCAACACATGTTTCTGTGCAGTGTGAAACATCATCAAGCAGACACAGTGATATGTGATATGAGCCACTGGGAGGTTCAGGCAGGCGATCACTTGAGCCCAGGATTGGGACCAGCTTATACAATACAATGAGACCCTTTCTCAAACAAGTAAATAAGATATGAGCATCATTGCTGGGTGGCCAGTCTCAGGAGGATTATTCTCTCAATTTTCAGGGAAAGTATCTAGGACACTGGGTGGTGTCAGTAATGAGCACCACCTGAGTCCCAGTCTGGCCATAGTTTTATTCTTTGATGGCAGAGATGACAATACATATAGTTTCAGTCTTTGGAGTCAGAATAATGATAACTACTACTGAGCCTATCTAGTCTGGGCTGCGCTGATGACCTTGGGAACAAGAGAAGCTTGCAGAGGCAGCTTCCCATCCACCTGTTGATGATACAGGCCCAGCCAGCCCACACAATTGTTAAAACCAGAACAGAGTTTCTGGACAGTCAAGGCAGACTATGGACAAGCATTCCCTGAACACTACACCCAAAGCTGAGCAAACAGTGTGAGTACCAGCTTTGATCCTCCAGGAAAGAGATGCATGACTAAGACAAACACAAATTAAGCCAGTGCGGGAGGAGAAAGACTGAGTTGTGGGTGGTTGGAATAGTGCTCTGTTAACTCTCAGTGCATCATTCAAGAGCTAATGAAGGAGCAGACTCTGAGTCAAGGCCTGACCATGGGAGAGCAGTTCTAGGAAATGGGCTCTATACATTGCTAAATAAAGCCTCATGTTGAAACCTCCTTGACCCTCAGGATGCAATGAACGGGGTTCACTCACAACATCTGTCATCAGGCACATCACTACCTGGTAGCTTGTGTGTCCACAGGGTTCCTACACTGGGACATTTAGCCCTGGCGCATCAAAGAATATAGATGTGACCTGAACTAGAGGGCTGTTCCTAGGGAAGAAGGCTGGAGATGGTTGAGTGCTTCCCTAACATTCATAATGTCCTAGGCTCAAGCCCCAGTACCACATAAGCTTGCATTGTGCCAGAAGGATCAGAAGTTCAAGGTCGTCTTGAATAACATAGAAAGCCAGAAGCCAACACCCTCTCACACACGCACACACCCCAAAAAAGGATTAATGGAAGGAAAAGAAAGAAGGTTCCAGAGGACGTAACATTTTAGCTGCCTATTCCATTTACTCTGATGGCAGTTCACAGACGGCAGGGAAAGTGGGCAGAAAAGGGAAGCACATTTTTACTGTTGTGAGGATGGACAGATTGTTTGTTCAGGAGCCCAAGGTAGCTCCCTGAAGTCAGGGTTTCAGGCTGTGCTGATGAAGCACAGGAGGGAGAGCTTTGGGCATTTATAGAAAACTTCCCAGAAAATGAAAACCCATGGTCTGCCTCACTGCCTCACATAGTGGGACACACAAACCTCCTGGCCTTTCTCTACATTGTGAGCTTTCCAGTTGCATGAAGGCAACTTAAAGGCATCTTTAAATGATGGTGTCTCTCACTTCTCTTCCCCTAGGCAGCGATAAACTGTACCATCAGTGGCTGTCTACAGTCCGGGTAAGTGTACCCCAATCAGAGCCACCTGGTTTCCTCTGTGGCCACCTACAAAGCTGCCTCAAGACATCTTTCTGTGTCCTTTCCCTCAGCTGAAGATGCTTTTGACTTAATGCCAAGCCACCATCCTGTAGAAGGGACTAGAAGGAGACAGTCTCCTTTAATGGGGAAAATGAGGCAGGAGAGGCTCCCTCCTCTTCAGGCCAGCCAAGGCTGATGGAGTGAAGTATTGTTCTAGATCATTCCTTCCTTGGCAAAGTCAAAGACACATCTCCTTTGCTACACTGCAGTGTCTTTCACTGCAAGGGCTCCTGGGAAAGTGGAAAACACATATGTGGGAGACTTTTCTTCACTCCTTACTGCAATTGTGAACAATGTCTTGTTGAATTGGGAGCCAGGTGCTCAGGGCTCCTGTGGCCTCTAAGGAGTTCAAAGTTTTCCTGACTTTTCCATGACTTTCTAATGAGTATGTTCTCAAGGCCTACTGTGTGCCAAGGACAGCTGGCCCCTGGGAATTCAGAGGGGGGCAGATCTTGCCCTGGGGGAGCTCCCCATCTCGTTAGGAAGGCAGGTATGTAAACAGGCAACTCCAGCATAATGTGATAAGTGTTCTCTCCTGCTCCGGGCCAACCACAGCTGCTGCCAAGGCAGGTCCTGTGGAAGTGGCTGCAGTTGGCCAGAGTAAGCAGCTCCCCCATGAAAGACTGCCTTTGTTCTAGGATGGCCAAACACAGCACTTGGCACATCAGAGGAGAGCAATAAGGACCTGCTGATTGATTGATAAAGGGAGTTTCAGTACTCCAAAGGACCCTTTAAACAGTGTTCTGAGTAATTTTGGAAGCCAGCTCGGAATAGATGAGTGGGTGAAATTTTCCTATTGTCCTACAACATAGAATGCTTTCTAGGTCAAACTGTGTTGTTTTTCATTAAAACTCAAAATCTTTAAGTTTAAGTTTTGGTGAACAGTTACCAAAAGTTGTGCTAAAAGTTAAAGTCAATGCTTAACTGTCATCTCTTATGAGACATGTTTGATTAAAAGTCCTCCAGAGCGTGATCCCCTGGGTCCAGCATTCCAGGCTATCCATGCCACCCCGTCTGGCCTCCCAGCCTCATTTCCACCATAGGTCAAGAACCCCTGTCCCTCCCACGAGCACACCTGTAGCTCCCAACTTTTGCACTTCTTTATGTGCTGTTTCATACTCTGAGAATATTCATACCATGCTGTGTTCCATTATCAACCTGCACTCATCCTCCATGGTCTAGGTCAACTGTGTTCTGCTCCGAGGCCCTCTCCAGTCTTCTGGTCTCCAAACTCCCTGCATGTAAACAGTGCATCTCTCGCCATCCAAATGTGGTCATTTACCCTGCTCTGTCCCTCGCCCATACACACAAAGCCTGGTAGTCTCCAAAGAAAACCCTCTCTTGGCTCAGAGCCCTGACAGCCTTATATCATGCTACAGGAGTACGATTACAAATGGCCTGTGCACTCCACTTAGCTGCCTCCTAAGCAGTGGAAAACCTTCATCCATATCTTCCTCCCATACTTCCCAGGGAAAGTGACAAACCATATTGCCAGGGGTTCTGGTTGATCAGGACTATGTTTTCTTCCCCAGTGTGGAGTCAGATAAGTGGTTCACAGTTATGAAATATGATAGAACAGTATCTAGGGTAACTAGAAATTTTTTAAAGAGCTTCTGATGATCATAAGGAAACTCATACCTCAGATAGCCTGGAGAGGGGCAGGTACTGAGAAAAACATTGAGCCTACTGTCTTCCCTTGACTAGTTATCACATGCCTCTTCCCCATTCCCCACACGTGTGTGTGTGTGTGTGTGTGTGTGTGTGTGTGTGTGTGTGTATGCACGGGAAAGGTGGGGGAGGAAGGAAGGAGAGAAAAACAAGGATGGCGTGGGGGGGGGGGAGGAAGGGGAGAGAGACAAGAGAGTTAGAGTCTGTCATAGCCCTAACTGACCCCGGTAACCACCTGGGCCTGCTTCTCTTCTCACAGCACATGCTCTGGAAATGTTGTCTGGCTTGACTAAAGAGAAACCCTTTTTGTTGGTGCTGGCCCACTCTCCCTCCAGCCCACATTGCTGATTGACATTTTTATTACAGAAAGGAAGTGGAGCGATTCTGAATACTGTAAAAACAAAAGCTAACCCAGCCATGAAGACTGTCTACAAGTTTGTAAGTACTGGTCGAAGTCTGGAAGTCATGGATGGGTTCTGTCATGAAACTAGGCTCCTTTTGTTTGTTTTTGTTTTGTTTGTTTGGGGCTTTTTTGGTGGTGGTGGTGGTGGTGGTGGTGGTGGTGGTGGTGGTGGTGGTG